AAATTATTTCGGCGACTCCTATCTTCAAGTTCAGCCAGCTTATCTTTAATAACGTTATCGTTTCCTAAATTCATTTTTGTATTGTTCAATTGATATGGCATTGTTGTTTTTTTAAAAACATCTATATCCGATAGTAAACTTTAATATTTGTCACTGACAAATTTAACACTTTTTTTCAGGTCACTTACTTCATTTTTTAAATTTTTATTTTTTTACTGCATAACTAATATTTTGCTTTCTAGTTTATCAAAATAACTTCATTATTGTGTTTTCGTGAATATCCATAATTTCTTTTAATTGAGCAATTGAGTAATATTTTTATTAGCCAATAATAAACACGTCCGTTCGCTAAAGTGTTCACGGAAGAAAAAAAAAAAATTGAAGTAAGATTCTTTTAGAAACTGTTTTTAATTTTTCTAAAGAGTAGTGTTTATTATTAAAGTTTTTAATAAAATTTTTCCATAAAAAAGGTCCTTGATATTGAATTTGATAAGAACTTATTTTTAAAATTATTCTCAGAACAATAAAGTTAATCAAATTTGACTCTTTAAGCACTTTCAGAAAGACACGTAAGTTTTTTTCAAGATTTTACTATTTATTATAAAGTTTTCTCAAGAGTTTATCTAACTTTTGACGAAAATATGTTTTATTTAGTTAAATAGATTTTAAACGCTATTATAATTTAATAGCGTTTACAAATGCTTAGTATAAATATGTCGTAATTTCCTTCAAAGATTATGTCGTCAATCTTAGGCAAAGTGCTAAGTCTTGATGCAGGTATTGGTGAAGCAACTGACCATTATATCGACGACATAATCGTTGATTTGAAAAAGACATCGGTTGAAAATGTCGTAAATTATTTGGAACGGTATGGTTTGTTAAAAAAAGAGCCAGAAGAATGTGATGGTGCACGAGTTTTGGGTTAGCAAATATTTAGAAACGATTATAAAGTGCTTTGTTGGAAACGCGGCAATATCATTTCAAAGTCAAAAGACATCGAAAATGAAAAAATAACACGTTAGAGATTGTTTTCAATATGTGGTCACTTTATTGGACACTATCCAATTAGAAACTGGCTCAGAATTGCCTGCAGTTTTACAAAACGTTATAGTCATGGAGATGCTAAAGATGATCTAATAGGAGATCAAGCACAGTCATGGTTGGTCGAAATAATGCGCCGTTTGGAAGCTAGTGATCCTGTAAAAGGGACATGGAATGCTGATGGTATTCAAAATGGAGCAATATTGTGGTGTGATGTTAGTAGTATTGCAATGGGTGTTTCAATTGAATATTACGGCGTAATAGTTGAGGATGCAGCATGGCTACGAAGTATAAATGATGTCATGCATTTTAATACGGCCGAATTAGATACTGTGGTGCGTGGAATAAACCTAGCTGTTAAGTGGGACATCAAGAACCTATTGATATTTACCGACTTGGTTCATGGATGGTTGAAAAGTGTGCTGACTGAAAGTCATAGGGTTCGGTCAAATGGACTATCAAAAATGCTTATCAAACGAAGACTTTCATTATTGCGTGATTTAATAAAGGAATACAGTACGAACATCATAATGAAGTGGGTTCCGTCTTCTAAAAACAAAGCAGATGTATTAACAAGAGTTTCAAAAAAGTGGTTAAATGAAATTTCACGAAAAATAAAACTTTTGAGAATACTTTTACTATTTATTTTTCCGATTTTTTAGTTTTTATAAAATTTCCATTTTAAATTTATTTTTAATTATGTATATCAAATTTTAAAAAAAAATTTAGGTAGTTTCAGATCAAGTGACTCTTGTTTTTATTTCTTCTTTTTTTGAGTATAATTCTCTTTTGATTTATGGTGTAGACATAAACTTGTGTACAAAAACATATTTTTAAAAAAATTTAATTTTGTAAAAATGATCAATTTCTGAGACCATGTTTTTTTGTATATTTTATTTTCAACTTAGGTTGTATGATTCTGGAATCCCTAATCAGCATTTAATGCTAATCTCAGTGAATAGTTAACCATAAAAATAAAGTTTTTAATATATGAATATATATAATACTTATTTAACAGATCATTATGTACATCGAATAGTTCAACAACATATTCTAAAAGTAACTAAAGCAGTTTTTAAAAGCCATTAAAACTAGAACTACTTTTTACCTCAGGGGCGGATCCAGCATTTTTTGGTGTTTGAGATAGCTAACTTCCAGACATGGAGCAAACTCCAAACATTCATATGTTTATACTTATATCAAATAAGAATGGTTTGCAAAAAATTGCGATGATTGGAGCCTGGGAACAAAAAAGCCCTAAAATTTGAGACGTACCTGCCCCAATCGTGAGAGCAACAAGATGATATAATATTTTTTGTACTATTCTCAACAAGACTTATATTTATCCATAAATTTTAAATTTCATTGTAAAATATTTCAGCGTTCAAAAATTATGACCATGTAAAGTTTGAATCCCCCTCAATTCGAGGGGGTCACAATTTTTATATGGTCATAATTTTTAAGCGCTAAAATATTTTACTATGAAATTTAAAATTTTTTGATAAATATAATTCTTGTTGAGAATAGTACAAAAAATATTTTATCAACTTGTTGCTCTCACGTTTGGGGCAGGTACGTCTCAAATTTTGGGGCTTTTTTGTTCCCAGGCTCCAATCATCGCAATTTTTTGCAAACCATCCTTACTTGATATAAGTATAAACATGTAAATGTTTGGAGTTTGCTCCATGTCTGGAAGTAAGCTATCTCAAACACCAAAAAATGCTGGATCCGCCCCTGTACCTTACAACGGGTCTTTTTAACCTTACTATGGGTCTATATATATTAAATTTATATATATTTTTAAAAAGATATTTTCTTGGTATTAACATATTTCTTATCGTTTTACAAGTTTGTTATATGGTTTCTACAAGTAAATGGGAAATGGTCTATTTAGCAGCTCATTAAAAAAAGAAGGTATATGTTTTTTTTATTTTTTTTTTTTTTATTTGTTCACTTATTTTAATGATTTTAACTTCAAACTTTAAATTATAAATCAACAAATGATATAACGGCGAAATACTAAAATTCAGTAAATAGTAAAGATTGTTAACACAAATATATTCAGGAACAGGGGTGGACAAGGCTGGTTGCTTTTCTTTTTATTCTTTGAGCTTTGCAGTTCTAACAACACATTTCTTTCTAAATAATAAAGTGTAGTCTTGCAGAGTATGACTTAAGGTAACATTTTAAGTGACATTTGGTGTAATTAAAAATTGCTTAAAGCACTTCCAGGGCCTCAAAAAAAAAAAAAAAATCTCTTTTATACTCCATTCTGGTGTAATTTGGTTCAGTTTATAATTTTATCACTATAATTCTCTAAAATGATTTATACTGTATTACTAAGTTGAAATGTTTAAAGAAATTATATTTTATTTACTTTTGCAAACAATTTAAAGCCATAAATTTGATAAAATTTTAATAAAAACGTTTTGATTAATTAAAAGTTATTTACTCTGTTTGTATGATCTTTAGGTTTATGGCCGGCTGTCATCAAAACTCACTGTACAATTAGCAATTAAATCTTTGCTACAAGAATTTCAAGAAATTCTGAAAAACATTGTAAATGCCGTGATTATCGTATTAGGTTGTGCTTTACGTAGCATTCAATAATATTATGTTATTTCACACTGATGTGAAGGGGTTGTCTAGAGGCAAAGTTTTAAAACATGTTTTTTTATTTTTGTGATAATTTGAAAAAATTTTTAAATCAAAAGTCTAAACCACACATTTAAGCACTTTTTGACAAAAGTAACCATTTTCACAAAATTCTTTATTTTCTTGACTTCTTTGCAAATCTGAACAAGTTGAATTAATAGCCAATAATATATATTTTTCACGTGCATCTTAATAATGTTTTTTATTTTAATAACTTTGTTTGACAAAGTTAAAATAAAAGTTTATTTTACTAATGAAAAACAAAAGTGGTTTAGTGTTATTAATAATTCAACTGCCCATTAGACAGCAGCAATTTCTGGAAATTTATCACTTCAAGCTGGAGTAATTATCTTATAAAATAATAGGAATTTTAGCGAAAAAAGTAACTTTTAAAGTTGAGTAGAAGCTTTCTTATTTTAAAAATAAGCATTAAAATTCCAACTTAAATAATTTCTTATAAGTTGCCATTTTTATTGGATATATCGGGGTGTTCACTCTGCTGGATAAACTGAAAGAACTAGAAAGGACTGTTTTGAAAGGCATACTAAAAATACTGAAAAATATATTTTTTGTGCATAATTGATTCAATGATTATAAAAAACACATTTTCCAGTTATTTAATTGTGTTTTTTAAAAATAGTTTTGTACATTTTTTTAAGTTTGTTTTGAGTTGACACCCTGTGTATTATGACATCCGGCCTTAAAAAAATGTAAATAAACCAAAAAGTAGAGTATCAAATTGTAGATCGAACCTTGCAAAAGCGTTTTTCTGTTATTTTTAAGGAGTTATAAAATCTTTAATATATATTAACTATATTAACAAACTTAATTTATTACAATAATAAAAAAATGCCTCCTGTAAAAAGTACTAGACGGTGTAATTTATATGGTGGTAGCCCTTCTGATCTTCTTATTACAGATCTAGCAACTTATGGTGATGTAGCAAGATTTTTCTACAAATTAAAAGATTTAGATGGTATTATAGACAAAAATGTTATTATTCAAAGAACGCTTTGTAGTTTAAAAGAAAAATGGTTCCATTGCCGGATCAAGGGAGGCTAGAGGGACTATAGCCCCAGGCCCCGCTGTTTTAGGGGCCCCAAAAAATTTTAGAAGACCTTCCCTTTTTTTTCTGTCATTTTTAGGCTCTGCTCTATAAAAAGGCCTCCAAAAACAAAAATAGCCCCGGGCCCCTAGATGTTTTCATCCGCCTCTGTATGGTTCAACTGCAATTCCAAATTAGTTTTGTTACCTGAAAAATGTTTGATTGTTAAACTTTTAAGATTTTATAATAATGTTATTTCTCGGAATAGAATTAAAATTAAACCTTTGACCAAAAAATTGTTTGAAAAAAATAAAGAAAAAACTTTTTGATCTGATAGCATGTAACTGCAAGCTTGAAGTTTTTCCTTGTGATGACAGGAATATCAAATGCTCAGGTTGTTCAAATGTGCATCTTTACTGTAGTTGTGTTGGTAGTACAAAAGTAAGTTAAACAAATTTAAAGTAATTTATTTTAAATTAAACTTTAAACAACTTATTTAATTTTTATTGATAAACTTTTTTATATTTTATTATTATTTTTTATATTTTGATAGTAATACGTTTTACACAAATTAATTGAAAATAATATTTAAAACCAGAAATATTTATTTAGGTTCCTTTGGAAGAGCGCTCCTATTTAAAAGACCAAAGGGAGAAAATTGGTACTAAAGAAAAGTTTCAAATAGGAGGTATTGATAACTCTGTTTTATCACCTACCTCAAGAAATACAAAGCAAACAAAAGCTTCTGATGAAGAAATTTATATTAAAGAGTTTGACACAATCATGGATTCAGATCAGGTAATAAATTTTGACCTGTAAACTTTGATTGTATGATAAAAACTATATAAATTCTTAAATTTCTTAATTCTTTTAAATATAATGCTCTAAAGTTAATTAGAGCATCTTAAATGTTAATACAATTAAATGTAAAATTTTAATTGTTATGATTTTTAATTTCTGGAAGTTTTGTTGTATTTTTTTCTATAATTACAGTGTGAAACTTCAATTTCATCATTAAATCAGACTAGATCAAAGTACTATAACACTACCCACTATCTCAAATTTGCTTTAGAGATAATTAGATATGGAATATCAGATAAAGCAGCTGCCCCTGTAGCTAATGCTCTACTTCAAGATATTGGTTATCTACATCTTAATGATGCAATTGACCCAAGTAAAATGAAGAGAGAGAAAGAGCGAGTATGCTTTAATGCTAGTTTTGAGCAATCTAAAGTTTCAAATATAAAGACAATTAGTTTGGATTGCAAAAGCATTTATTCGGCGGATTTTGATGTTGGATACTGAAGTTCAAAATTACATTGGCCATAATTTATAGAAACTCTTTTTGTCTCCAACCTGAAAATTTTATTGCTGCTCTACTTTATTCTGAAGAACAGGTTTATAGAACAATTGCTGTTGTTCAGATTTTGGAAAGAAGAAAAACCCTAATTAAGGATCCTAAAAATGGATTAAAAGATGGTATTAGGGTTAACGCCATTCCAGTTATTAATTGTAGATGTAAAATGAGGGGTCATTTGGATTTTGAAGTTATGCGGATTAAACGTTATTGAACTTTTTTGTAGTGGAAAAATTGATGATTTTTTTACAAAAGGTGTAAGGCTTAAGTATGGAAAATTGGGTTGGTTATTGCACCAAAATTCCCATAGTGACCAACCAACTATAAAAAAAAAAATTCCAAATTTATTTATTTTTAAATCAGTCGGGAATGATCAGAATCTATTTCACTATTTTTTTTATTTTACAGACTAAGGCCTTTTACAAATTTATATTTTTTTGGGGTCATACTGACTTTTGAATAACTTTTTAAAAGTTGATACATTTGACGTGGAATTTTCTATTGTGACCTACTAACTATAAAAAAATAAAATTCCAAAAATTTTTTGTAAATTTTTCGGGATTCTCTAGAATCACCTATTTTACAGATTTTTAACTAATTTATACATTTTTAGGTTCTCACTGACTTTTTCATAACTTTTGAATCGTTTTTATTTTTGACTTGAAATTTTTCATGGTGATTAAACAACTTTAAGAAAATAAAATATAAAATATGCAAATACCCGACGGGCATTTGTTTTTAAAAGTTACGTTCTAAATGTGTTTTAAACGTCTTTTAAACGTTTTTGTTTTAAACATTAATGTTTAAAAGACTGTTTTAAACAACTGTTTATAAACTGTTTAAAACAATGTTTAAAACGTCTTTTAAACATTAATGTTTAAAAGACTGTTTTAAACAACTGTTTATAAACTGTTTAAAACAATGTTTAAAACGCCTTTTAAACATTAATGTTTAAAAGACGTTTAAAAGACGTTTAAAACACATTTAGAACGTAACTTTTAAAAACAAATGCCCGTCGGGTATGTATAATGGAATCATGGAATCTGAAAAATACATCATTTTGATTTTATTGCAAAATTTAAAGACCGGTTTGTAAATTACTGCACAAAGATTACACAGTTCGGCAATTTGAATTTTTTGCTCGCCTTCTGAAGTGAACGGACGGGTTTTTTTTATTGCGTAAATTTTGTTTTAATCTAAAAAGTTGTTATTAAAAAAAAAAAAGTTTTAAATAATAGTTTAATAATAAAACTACAGAAAAAATACAAACTGATACATTTTAGTAACTATGTAATAAGATTTTATCAAAATAATTGAATTGAGATTTTATCAATCATATAAGTTAATTATGGCAGTTACTTGAGATGAGATTAAAAAAATATTGAAGGAGATGTTTAGTGATTACAAAAAACAATTTAAAGAAATCTTAAAGCAACAAGAAATAAACATTCTAGCCATTGTAAGTTCAAGCACAAAAATAATTCATGACCGCTTAGATAAAGTTGAAAAAAATATAATCGACAATGTCGAACGAGTTAAGTCAATAATAAAAGATGTTGAAGAAATAAATTAAGCTTAATTTTTCATGAACAGCTTGTTGATGCTAAAATAAAAACTGCAATTAGTTATCAGGAAATGATAAATCCATCTGGTAGTGAAACAACTAAACTAAACTCGGAATTCCTTAATATAAAAAACAAGTTAAGGGAAATGGAAGATCGTTCGAGACAAAATAACTTAAGAATAGACGGTGTAAAAGAGAATGAAAACGAAAGCTGGGAAGAGACCAAATCAAAGGTAAAAAAATTATTAGAAGATTATCTAGATGTAAAGAGTGTTAAAATAGAACGAGCTCACAGAACTGGCAAAAAAGCCAAGAACAATCGTACTAAAACTCTTGGATTTCAAAGATAAAACAGAAATTCTTAAAAAATCTTTTTATCTGAAAGGAAAAAATATTTTCATCAATGAAGACTTTTGTCCGGAGACCAAACAAATAAGAAGAGCTTTAAAAGAAAAGATGAAAGTAGAACGAACATCTGGGAAATACGCTGTTATATCGCACGATAGGTTGATCATACGTGATTGGGCCTCCAATCGAAAAAAGAATTAGGTTCGTTATATTTTAACTCTTTTTTATTCATGTATATATATTACGTTGTTCTTTCTTTGTTTTATTTAAAATTTTATGTTTTTAAAATGGCGGAAAACTTTTCTACAAAATTTAACTACGAAGATTTAAAGCTAAGTGATAATAAAATTTTTTTTTGTGAAAAAAGCTTTGAAACTGAGTCATTTTCAATTTCTGAATCTACTCATTTTCTTTCTCAGAACAATAATGCTTTCTCAATTTTAACTCTGAACATTCGGAGTATGAGTAAAAACTTTGAAAACTTTTTAAAATTATCTGCCTTACAGAAACGTGGCTTAAAAACAATGAAGAAAACGCACGATTTGAATTAGCCAATTATGCATCGGTTCATCAATCGCGTCATAAACATGCTGGTGGTGGGGTGAGTATTTTTATTCACAACTCATTAAATTTTATTCAGCGTAATGATCTTTGTGTGAATGAAACTGATTGTGAGTCGTTATGCAATGAAATAATAAATAAAAAGGAAAAAAATGTTTTCGTAAACTCTATTTATAGATAACCAGCTGGAAACTTAAAAAATTTCAAATTAAACTATAAAAATTTTCTAACACAAACCAGTAAAAATCGGAAACATGTATACTTAGTTGGAGATTTTAACATAAACATTTTAAATTATGCATCAAAAATTGATGCTAAATGCTTTATTGACACCATTTTGCAATATAATTTTATTCCAACAATAAATAAGGCAACAAGAATAACAAAGACATCGTCAACATTAGTCGACAACTTAATAACAAATAACTTTCACAAATGCTGTGTACAGGCATAATTAAAACTGACATAAGTGATCATTTTCCTATCTTTCTAACCACTAAAAACATAACATTAAAAAACAATTCACTTGCCTCAGAAACGTAAGATCCGTGGTTCAAACCCCACCTCTGGGCAAGTTTTGTGACATCGGTTGGGAAGGAGGCGTGAACTTCCTATTAAATGCTCTTCCGCGGTGCTCTGTGATAAGACCGCAAGGACTTCTTGGGGCACCTAAAAAATTAACAAAAAAAAAAACTCCATTAAATTAAAAATATTGGTCCGTAAAATCAATGAAAACTTCATAGTACATTTTCGCCATCTATTAAAAAATTCTGTTGATTGGAACTTAGTGTATGAAACACAAAATGCAAATAATGTTTATGTATTATTCCTCGCGTTTTTAAGTAAACAATATAATAAGGCATTTCCTTTAATCGAACAAAATTTAAATTCTAAGTCTATTTTGAATCCGTGGATGACAAAAGGTTTAATCAAATCTTCAAAAAAAAAAAAACTATATGAAAAATATCTACGACATAAAACATATCATAATGAAATAATATACAAAAACTACAAAAGTTTGTTTGAAAAAACCAAAAAATTTTCAAAAAAATCTTATTATGAAAAGTTATTGGAAAAAAGTAATGGAAATTCAAAAAAAACTTGGAATATAGTAAAAGAAATAATTGGCAAAAATATTTCGATTGTTTATGATAAAGAAACCATAGCTGACAAGCTAAACAGTTTTTTTTTTTGAGATCGGTCCAAATCTGACGACTAAAATTCCATCTTGTACCATAAAATTTGATACTTACCTCAAAACAGCAAATAATTTTATGACAGAACTAAATTTAAATATAAGTGAGGAGCATAATTTCTGAATAATAACAAAATTGCAGGCATAGATAAAATTAGCGTCAATGTAGTTAAATCAGTCTTTGATATTATTGAACCCTTATTGTTTCACATTTTTAATCTCTCATTAACGTCTGGTATTGTACCAGACAAACTTAAAATAGACAAAATCACACCGGTTTTTAAGTCAGGTGAAAAAACAAATGGTTCAAACTTCAAACCTATTTCTGTATTACCTTGTTTCTCTAAATTGCAAGAACGCATTATGTACAATAGGCTTTATAATCATTTAGTTTCAAATAATCTTCTGTTTAAAAACAAACAATTTGAGTTTTAAAAAAATCATTCTACGGATTACGCGGTAATTGAGCTTGTAAACCATATATCGGATGCGTTTGATAAAGATTATGATGACACTGTCAATCATGAAATTCTTATAAAAAAATTAGAACTTTATGGGGTAAACAACTTTAACTTACTTTGGTTTAAAAACTACTTGACTAACAGAAAACAATGCATAACCTATGAAACAAATGAAACCAAAAAAAAACTTTGTTGTTTTTTTTTGTTGCGGGGTTCCTCAAGGATCTATTTTAGGACCATTATTGTTTCTAGTGTATATAAATGACTTATTTTTAGCATCTAAAAAAGTATATCTTATATTATTTGCTGACGATTCCAATCTGTTTTATTCACACAGAGATATAAAAATTCATTTTAAAACTTTTAATGAAGAATTATTTATAGTAAATGAATGGTTTATAAGTAACCGCGTTTCACTAAATGTAGATAAAACTAAATTCATCATGTTCCACAAACCAAATAAAGTTGAAAATATTCCACTTAAACTGCCAAATCTTTTATTCAATAAAACAGATGTAAAAAGGGAATCTATAGTTAACTTTTTAGGCGTAATTCTTGTCATGGAAGTTTCACATTCAATCTATTGAAAGTAAAATCTCTTATAATATTTCCGTACTTTATAAAACAAAACCATTTTTAAACCCAAAAGCTCTAATAAAAATTTATTTTTCATTTACTCACAGGTCTCTTTCTTACTGCAACATTCCATGGGGAAGTACGAATTACGGAAAACTCAAAAAACTTTATAGTAAACAAAAGCATGCTTGTAGGATTGAATTTGGGGCAAACAGATTTATTATAACAGTTTATTGCGAACCGCTATTAAATTGTCTCAAGGCCTTAAACATTTATAAGCTAAACATTTACCAAACATTACTTTTGATGTTTAAAATGAAACATGAAATATCTCCACTTATATTTCAATCTTGTTTTAGCGAAATATCTCATAAGTATTCAACAAAGTTTTCAGAGGATAACGTTATTGTTCCGAGAATTAATCTAAAAATCAGTTCTTATCGAATTCAATATCGAGGACCTTTTTTATGGAAAAATTTTATTAAAAACTCTATCAAAGAACAAAACTCTTTAGAAAAATTTAAAACAGTTTCTAAAAGAATCTTACTTCAATTAGATTTTAATTCAATAGACTTTAAATATTTTTTTTAAAAGGTAATTTTAAAATAGAAAAAACGCTTCCATTAGCACTAAATATATTTTGTTATATGTATCAAATATATTTGTATTAAAATACAAAACTTTCTTTATTTTTAAATTTTTAATATAATTGTCATTTTATTATTTGACAAAAGTTATGTACTATTTAACGCTTTTTTGTATATTTTATTCATAATTGTTTATAAACACGAAAAAATTGTAAACGGGGCTCGGTGATAAAGCAGTCATTGTCTTCTTCTTGCTCCGGCCAATTTTTAGTAATATTATGTCTTTAATGTAAATATATGAAACGGCACAAAAAAAGTATATATTTTTCATAATTTCCAACTGTTATTACATTTGACTTGAAAATTTTGATAGGGATACAAAACTATTAGAAAATTAAATACCATAATTTTTTTTACATTTTTCGGGATTATCTAGAATCATTAGTTTTACGGACTGAAGTGTTTTTCTTATTTAGCTAATCTTGAGGAATAAAATCTCGAGTTATATTATAAAAACTCAATGCAAAGATGCATAAAGAATCACAGAATTTAATTAATTCATCTGTTTAAAAAACCATTGCTTAATTTACAGACCGATTAGTAAATTACTGCGTAAGAACATTGAAATCTATCTGAAACATTCAGAAATACCTATTTAACATACAGAAGATAATAAATAAATTGATAATTTAAATTTAAAAGAAAATAATTTACATCAATAGAGCTTCCTGATAGTTTTAGTACTTACATCAGCAATAGCAGGTGTAACAGCAGAAACTCTATCTAAAATTATAAAAAAAAATAATTATTAATCAACAGATGGACAATAAATTTTAAAAAGTATTTGTTATTTTGTTTTAATTTTTTTTTTTTTTTTGTATGTATTTAGGTACTCCCAGAGGTCCTTACGGTCTTATCATAGTGCACCGCGGGAGAGTATTTAACAGGAAGTTCACGCCTCCTTCCAATGTTTTGCTGGGCGTCGAACTTTGAACCTCTGGTTTTTTTTTTTTTTTTTTTTCTCCATTTATTTAACCATAAATTATTTTAAGTTCTGATCCAGAACTTTAACCATTGCGCCACGGCTGCTCAAATCAAAAATAAAATAAAAACTATAAAATAATATTTAAAACTAAACAAATATAAAATGAGAAACTTATTCTTTGAGAAAATTTATGTAAACTATCGACAACTCCTAAGATAAAAAATAAACAAAAACAACATTAAAATAAAAATCATTGCTATTCTACAACTTATCTCTTAGCTTTTAATAAATGATTAGAAGTAGCAAGTTTCATTAACGAAACAACCTAATAATTATTTTTAACGATAGACACCAAGAAGGTAAGCCAAGTTGTCTATCAACACAAAACATCACAACAATAATATCACAAAACATACAGACCCTGTGGCACTAAACGCTGAAAATTCACACTACACACTCGCGTGTGGAGTTTTTCTCCAAACCAGTGTGTAGCTAACACTCCTAGACACAAGTGTGGTATTTTGGTATTTTGCACAGTTTTGTGCAAATAACTACACACTTCTGTACAGAAGTCAAGTTAGAAAAAATTAATTTCTACAAAAGTATGTGAAATCACTCCACACTTGTGTCTAAGAGTGATAGCTACACACTAAAATTTGCAGCCCCCTCAAACTGAGGGGAGTTCAAACTTTTCATGGTCATAATTTTTAAATCCTAAAAGAATGTTGCGTGAACTTTAAAATTTATTGATGAATAAAGATTTAGTTAAAAGTAGTATAAAAATTATTTTATTAATTTGTTGCTCTTACGTTTGGGACAGGTGTTGCTAAAATTTTAGAGCTTTTTGTTCCCAGGCTCCAATCGTTGCAAGTTTTTACAAAGCAATATATACATATATATATATATATATATATATATATATATATATATATATATATATATATATATATATATAATTATAGGTATATATTATATATATGTATATATATATATATATATATATATATATATATATATATATATATATATATATATATATATATATATATATATATATATATATATATATATTTATATATTTTTTTTATTTTATTTTATTTGCCGTATAATATTATTTACATCAAGATTTATAATATTATACGGACAGGACTTCAAGAAGATTGTAATGATCTCATCACGAAGCCCTTAACAAAATTCTATTTTCTTCTTCAATAAAAACATCTATATATTATATACAATAAATATATACCGAGAATATATAATCACTAAATATATCATAAATTTGACACTACATACTTCAGAAGTGAAACTCAAAATAAAACATAACAAATCATTACGCAGTATAGCAATTAAATTTTTTTTTTTTAAATCAAAAAAAAATCAAAAATATTTTTTGTTGAAAAAATGATTTTTTTAATAGATTTTTTAAAAAAGGAATAGGTCAATTTAGATAAAAAAATAAAAAAATTAGGCCGTACTATTTCATTCTAGAGAAAAGGTCCACGATAAGATATACAAAATTGAGCTTGTTTATTATTGCAAAAAGGTTTTTCTAAAATCTATTATTACGTAGGTTATATTTGTTTTGGGGTTTAATCTTGTAAAGGTTTACGAATACATCGGGGGACATAACTCAATTGTTGTGTGGTAAAGATTTTTTAGCAATTTCAAAGATATTCAAACGCAGCAACTCAAAGTCTATTGTTTCATTAGCCATAATTATATTTAAGACAATATAAACTTGTTAGAAAATGCGCTCGCTGTTTATTTTTTAAAATCTCTGCAATAAGTTTTATCAAAATGTTATATGTTGATATAAGATCCTTGTGTGAAAAGGATTTGAAAAGTGACAGGTGTCATAATTAAGGTGACCAACTATTCTCATTTACTGAGTTTTGGACTCTTCTTTCACAAACCGTATTCTTTTCAAATTCTGTACTCTGAAAGTACTTCTTTGTATAAATTTGTACTCATTTGTATTTTTAAAACATTTTTTAAGATTATTTCATTTCAAACTCATTAATTAAATATTTAAAACTATTTTGACAGTGGTTTGAATTTCACGCGCGCATATTGCTTGTCGTTTCCAGCACGTCAGAGGACGGGGCAAATACGAGACACAAGTTTGACAGAGATTTAAATTTTGAACGCACTTATGGCTGCCTTTTTCAGCACAATTGGGAGGCCGTATTATGTAACTGGAGAGATAAATAGATACTACAGACCTCTTTTTTCAAACAACGTTAAAATTACATTTGTGAAAAGAGATGGACATATCTATCTCTTCAATACTTGTGTATGTAATCCCCAGTACATACTGCTGATCTTTGATGTGCAGTGTGTACGGCATGCTTGACAGTCTTGACACATGCGTAGTATGTACAACAAAGTTTTTTTATCCATCTTATTAATAATATAAAGGGATAAAAAAAACTTTACTGTACACACTACGCATGCGCCTATCGTTAAATAACCATAAAATCAAAAATTACAAACTTAATTATAATTTACAAATTTATGTTCGGTGTCACTCATATTAAAAACTAGTCAATGGAGCGACACCTTAATAAAATAAACAAATAAAATAAAAAAAATATTAAAACAAAGAAATAATAAAGAAAGTAAACTACATTAATACAAGTAAACAAAAAAGAACTTTAAGAAACAGTAATATTAAATAATTTGGAATTAGAACAAAAATATATAGGAGTAACGCTAAGAAAAATGAAAATGAACGGATGAGATAAGATGAGTGAGAAAATATGTAAGAGAAAGCAAAAATTTAATCACATAAGTTCAGAAGGATAGAGTGACAGAAAACAATTTTTGCAGAAAAAATATAAAAATGTAAATTAAAGGCAAATTTAAACAAAAGAATATATACATACACTACTACTTACAGTAGATAGAAAAGGAGAGTTCATCGCCATTTTCATTTTCAACCATATTTTCAATCATATATTTTAATTAAAATATATGATTCATTATCATTCATAGTGTGTATAAACATTATAACTAAGAAATAAATTTTTAGGTCGCTTCGTGACCAATGCTACGCTAAATCATTTTTTTAAGATTTAAAAATTAGTATCAATTTCGTTTCTTGCAGTGACGTCACAGGTCACATGATTTTTTAGTGCGCATGCGCGTAGTAGAAGCATTGGTTAGCTTTATCACTACTAGAATTTATAGTCACTACGTGTAACAAAAGTATTAATATGCCAATCCCATTATAGCATAATCAATTAAATTTTCAGGTCCTCTTAAATTTAATGAATGAAAATATTTAAGGATATGTAAATGACAATTAATAGTAGCATAAATAAAAGATAAATCAGTTACTTTATAATTTAACGATATTAAATATTTAACACGATCTAAATGTCCATAATAAGCAGCATAATCAATTGCACATCCTGTTCCTTTTTCTCCTAATTGAACTAATAATTTAATTAGATCATTTCTACCTATACTTTCAGCAAAGTCAATTTTATTCCAATTATCTTTATAACCTTCTTTTTTTAATATTTCAGTAATATAATATATTTGAGTTGAAGGCTCAATTATGTTTTTTATTAAAAAATTATTATTCTCAATATTATTTTCCATTCTTTTTATATATAAAAGAAAATTATTTATATCATTTTCAATTTTTTTTATTTTTTTTGTAAAAAAATATTTAATTCTGTGTACTTTCATCATCATTACCATATTCAATGGTTTGTTGCTTTTGTTTTGCTCAGTGCGCATGCGCTTAATTTTTGTTTATTTGCTTGTGGATGCTGTAGAATATGAAGAAGCTGTTACAGTAGTATTTGTATTAGCATTGCCAGAAGTAGCTGATACGCATATATTCACATTTACATTAGAGTTTTGCATTTTTATATATGCAAGATAATTATTTAGAAATTTTTTCATAGATTATTCAATTCCTTATTATTAACCCATG